AAGAGAAAGGCAGGATATTATATCCAGGCAGATGTAGAAAGAAAGAACTAGAGAATATTTACACTTTGGGCTATGGGGATATGTGAGATGGAATAAAATAAAGTGGGAAGAGTAGCAGAGGGATTTGCATGGGATTATTTACTCTGCTCTATGAGGAGATGTCTGTAATATTAGCAACTAAGTCTTGTGGACAGACACTTCTTGGCCCTTCTCAGTAGTAAAGAGTGCTCCAGACACTAAAGCATGACCTGCTATAGGCTTTGGGGGAGAACTGCACCTACTCCAGATGGAGCCCAGTGGGTGAACAGAGACTATATGAGCATTTATGTAGCTCTTTTTCCTTTTTCCTCAGGGCAAAAGGTTGGGTAGAACGAGTTTTTCCAGAAGTAGCAGCAGACAGCTTCTGGCCACCAACCTTCTCAGGGATTTTAAGTGTGTCCCCATGATTGTTCCTACCCACATGTAGCAAAGGAAAGTGCTGTGTGTTTTTAGGGAGCGAGCTGCTGAGAGCTGGCTACTGCCATTTCCAAAACAATTAATTTGGCTCACATCTAGGTCTTGAGTTGCCTTCTTCCTCTCCAGGAAAGGAGGTCGTCAAGAGCAAGGTCACACTCAAGATGAGTGGTCCGATCAGACCACAGGTCATGTACTGTGATCTGGGATAGAAAACATGATACCAAAGTACTGATGGATGGAAAAGACAAACACAACTGTGCAGTGATCCACCCCCAAACCTTTCAAAGATAGTTCTACATCAAAACACTTCTCTGTTAAATGTTTTACTGCACTTAAAACATTTTCCCTGAAGCAGTCACAAAAAATATGAGATCATGCTGTTGACTTATTGCCAAATTTTGAGTTTAATACAGAGAGCTGTTTTGTTTTCCAAAGAGGAACAAACTAGACTTAAATATATACAAACTTTCTGAAGGTCAGAGAGGATAATGATAGAGAACTAGATTCCTCAGAGAATTATTTGCTTTCAGGGTGAGGAATGTGGAAGGAGCAAACAGCAAAACCCACAAAGGGAAGAAAAGATCACCTTCCTTCCTCATGAAATGCAGTATTAAAACTGGAGCATGAGGAGATGAGCTAGAGAGCCAAAGAAAACGCTGCAGTAACTCAGGTGTGAGATGACAAAGGCAAGACAATGGTTATTAGTGATTCTAATGGAAGAGGAAAAAAAAAATGGTACAGGCCTCAGATGTTATAAATTAAGAGCCATTAGGATGTAGCCCAAATTTGGGATGTGAACAGAGGAAGAAGAAGGATCTTTTCCAAGAGACTCCAGATCTCTGAGTGCAGACAGAAGATGATAGCATTTCAGCAGAAATAAACAGGAGAGAGTTCACGAGAAAACAAGAGGAATTCTCAGTTTTTACTATGCTAAAGGTTTAGGCAGCATTATTACAGTGAATGCAAACTGTCGCAGTCAGAGCCAAGCAGTAAGGCAGGTAGGGGAATCCTCAGGTTTGCCTTGGTAGCTGGACTTGTGAAAGCAACAGTTACGCAGAGAGGAGAGGAAGCCAGTGCTTCCTACATCTGCTGCCAGAACAGAATGGCTGCTATTGAAAAGGGTTACAAATAGTCTTTGACTCAATGTTGGTCTACAGTTCAGTGGCACAGAAATACCTTCCCTGCCCCCACACACATGTAAAGATTGCTTAAATGTTTTACTAACTTAAGGTCACATTGGCCAGGAAACAAACTCCTTGCCTATAATTTTAGCCAAAAAAGTTCAGCCCCAAACAACATAACTTCCAACAACAACAAATCATTATTTTGAAATAATGAATAAATATCCCTCTTTCTTTCAGTCTTCTAGCATAATTTGAAGCAGCAAACCAGGTTTGATCACAACAGCAAAAGCAAGTGTCACCACAATCTATAGTTGATATGCAAATAAGAATTCACAAACCTTTGCCCTATCCACATTATTCATTACATAAATCACCTCCTAACACAGGGAAAACACTACCAGCTCCCCTTCCTATTTCTGGTACAGACAAAAAGAAATATTTCTATATTAATATGGAAATCATGGCCACAGTTGTAGAATCAGATGTAATGAACAATCTTGTCCCCAGATTAAGTTGCTGTAAAGGCAGCTTAAATTTACAACAAATGAGTCTTCATGGCAATCTGTTTTTTAGATATCAAAAATCTCATTTTCTCAGTGCCAAGGACAAGTGGAAGTGTGAAGCACTGGAATCTCAACTCTGCATTTGTCTCACTTGACATGAAATCATTCTCATTTCAGGTCAGATTTTTAATACATTCTTGGGATCCACTTCAGTTTTCTTCATGTCTCACTGTATGCAATTAAATATTTTGAAATACAGTTAATCCTGATCCACTACACCCTGTAGAGGCAAGGAGGAAATCACTTCATAAAGATGAGGCTGGTATCACTTATTTGGAAGAGAAATTCCTTTTCCCTTTTAATTTCTGAGTAAGTCAGAGTGAAAAATAATGCCACCATTTTCTCGGTCAGTTCTTAGAAAGAGCTTCACAAACAACAAATGAAAAGCTTTTGTCCTTGGGGAAGAGAAATATCACCATTTTGTCAGAAGTAAAACATGAGCAGAGGGGCTAAATCCTTGGCTTAAAGCCACACAGGATAGTATCAGTGGAAGAACATGTTATCTGCCTGAGGACATAAGCCACACTACAAGATTGTTACCAAACCAGCTATTGAAATGCAGAAGAACCAAATTTCAGCTTGCTGATAAACCTGGTGCATTGGATGGTGAAGAAAATATGCAAATTAAGTCCCAAGAATAAAGTTCTACCACTGCTGAATTTGCAATAAAAGCAGATTCCCAACCCCATGCATAATTACAAATTAATCCTGTCCTGTAACAAAAAATTTCAAAATTTAAGTCTTTTACTTAATGCACAGCTTAAGGTCTGTAAGAATCACCAGATCTTCTGGTTGGACTCTGCGTGTGGGTGTGAACATGTGCGTATGCACGTGTCTATAAACATAGGCTGTGACGTTGCATCTGCTTTACCTTCTCTATTCTGAGTCCAGCACAAAGTAAAATAAACTGGTTACTTGGTTTAACTTATGTTCAGAAGGTATCTTGCCTCAAAACCACCAAGGTTCCACCCATTCTAGTTCATTACAACAGTTAATCACCCTCTCCATTAGAAATTTGTACTGAAATTCTAGTTTGAATGTGTCTGGCTTCCTTTCTTTGCTAGCTTAGAGCACTTTATTCTTGGGAGATGTTCAGACAGGCTGTTGTTTACCCTATGCTTTTAAAACTCCAGGTTCTGCATTTGTATCAAAGCCTAAAGATAAACTCATCTGAGTGCATGCACAAAAGTAGGACTAGTGTCCAAAATACTAAAGCTAATCTAGGACTCTAGCCCATTTTCCCAAAATAGGTGTATTAGAAAAATAAATAAATAAATAAATATAATGCTCTGCCATATGACTTGAGGATGTGTTACATCTGTGGCCTGGAAAGTAAGGTTAAGAACCTTCTCTGAGAACTGCCACCTCTGAGTACACACTGTGGCTTGGTGACACGCAGCAACCAGTTCCATGCAGTCATTGTATCATAACACAAATAGAAG